TATATGTGTGTGTGTGTGTGTGTGTGTGTGTGTGTGTATGTTCTGTTTACATCTCCTCCAAAACGTAAACCCTAATTTCTATGCTTAATATATTTCGGCCTGATTATTTGTAAAAAACTGGTATTTTTGCCAGATTGTCCCAAGGTAAAAACTGATGAGATGCCCAGCTGTACACAAGTATGCTGCCTGACATGTGCATAGACATAGTTGTATAATTGTAACTTTTATTACCGCTTTCAGAATAGAAGATCCCATCCTTGCTCTGTAATACGGGAAGTACCCATGTAGGTTGTTTTTTTTCTCACGAATGAGTGTTTCTCAGTTCCAGTTAAGTGGTTGCATGTGCATTACTGCCTTAGCTTGTTCATCCATTCAAAAGTAAGTAAGTTATATACATCCTTCTTTTGTTGATGTTCACCATCACGTTTTATGTTTACTGTGTGTAACTGTACAGAGTCTGGAGTATTTAATTACACTACATTCATACAGACTGTCTGACATTTAACTCAATGTTCTGTGTTATTACATGCCTATTCTATTCTATTAGCACATTTCAAGTGATGTAAAGCTTAAAATATACATTTTAATTTCCTTTTATCGGTAGCAAATAATATTTTTACAGTCTGCTTTGATGGATATCTGTGTTTTAATATTATCTGGACAGCATTGCTTCACAGATTCATGTTGGGGCAAAGATTTGCATCCTTTTAACAAGCTGCTTTTTACCCGGTTGTCTACATTTTATTCTTTCTATATTGTTTATTCCCCATCCTTTCTGAATAAACATGTCTCTTCAGCACACCCATAAAGCCTACTAAGCAGTATAGCTCTCCTCACAGGAACTTTTGGAATACTTACGAATGAACTTGTGATTTTAACTTTTGTGTGTCGTTTTCAAAAGTATACATTATGTGAAGACCAATTCAGTGTTGTTTAAACTTAGTTATGTATATTGAAATAGTGGAGGAAAATGAGTTGTTCACATGTGGTAGATATTTCTTTCAGTTTGCTACAGCAGCCTATATCAGTATTCTCTGTGCTGGCAAGTAGAAGTGATAGTTTCTTTTCTGTTTTTGGGAAAACATCATGTGTTGTCACCGATTTACTTTTTCCTGTCAGTTTGGGTTTAGGTTTGTTGCAGATTTATATCTGGATTTGTTCATAATTTTCCAGTCGATAAATGAAGAGCATGGAGCAGTTTCTTATCATTGTTCTATTAGCAAGAGGAACACTCGGTAAGGTCTTCCTCATAAAGATGACAAACATATAAATTTTTAGGATGAATAATTTATAATTGTGTTTTTTTTCATGCTTTTTTTCCAGCTCTCGTTCCAGTTGATGAGACTACATGTGACCTCAGGATGAACACAGGTCCATGCTCTCCTATTCTTGAAGGAACTGTGTATATCCAAGTGATGACTGATGCTAGTGGCCGTGAAATGAAGTGTTTGAAGGTGCTTCCCAGTGTGAACATAACTGTGTTCAATCTGAAGAAAGAAAAAATAATGATAGACAAGGAATTTAGCAACAGACTAACATTTATAATCAAGAACGGGACACTCAAGATCACAAACGTGAGGAGGAATGATTCAGGTCGATACAGCATTGAGGTCTTTAATTCAGATGGCGTTCAAGAGAAAAATATTCATTTCACCCTGGATGTTAAAGACAATGGCAAAGTTGAAGGCAAGTTATATATTTTGAAGTTATTATAAAGTTAATCAGAAATATAAGCATCTGTCACAACGGGACTCAAGGGACTCAAGCGCAGGCTCTGGGTCCGGAGAAATAAAGAGTGTTTATTTACAGAAACACCCGTTGAGCTATTTACAAAGTGAGGGAAAAGACGGATTCCGGGAATACACACGACCAGGGAAAGACGCTTGCACCAACACACGCTCCTAGGTCCACACTCCGTCCACGCTCCACGCCACACGCTCCTCTTCACTCTCCACCAATCTACAAGAAACACAAAGCTGGCTCCAATTCTCACACACTCAGTCACACAGGTAACACATGGACAGGTCCAGGGAAATATATTCACAAAGACACGAGAAGATTGCTACGGGAAGATCACTAGAGGTACGAGAATAAACAAGGCCGGGGTTAACACTGACAAGAGTCGGCAACAGTCCAGTGACGAGAAACACAGAGCTGCCAACCTATATAGTTACTGGAACATTGTCAAGTGATGAGCCACAGGTGTGAGATTACGAACAAGTGCGTGGGCCAAGGGTGGGAGCCCACAGGTGAGCTCTGCCCAGGCAGTAAGAGGAAGGAGGGACAGTGAGGGAGGGAGAGAGAGAGAGCAGGAGCAAAAAATCAATACACATGTAGCTACACTGAGCCGACCGGGTAGAAACACGGACCCTGACAGCATCATGCTGGAGTAAAACTGCAAAACAGTACCCATCACTTGTGCAACAAATGATAGAAGATCTACTGAAAAACTACAAAGACAGATGCAAATGTTTCATGATGCTTGATGTTTCCAAATTCTTGAAGAGAATGAATGGAAAATTTTGCAATATAGTATTTGTCTATCTATTGGTATTGCCAGTTATTTTCACCACACATGGGCTGGTATCCATTTTCATAATGTAATCTTTAACTTTAAACTGTAAAGGGACACTGAATTTTTAAACATGGTCACTGATTAGTGTTAGCTGCACTAAATGAGTACTTTAGGCAGTGAAGAAGAAGTATTATAGTAGAAAATTTGCCAGGAACGAAGCCAATCATTTCCATTTGAAGTGTGAATAATTTAAGCTCATGTTCTTTTCAATGCCTTTTTTCCAGCTCTGGTTCCAGTTGATGAGACTACTTGTGACCTCAGGATGAACACATGTCCATGCTCTCCTATTCTT